GCTCCTGGAGCAGAGACGAAACCTTTTGATAACATTTGGAGTCAGATGTTGCCTGTCTGAAGAAAAGTAATTTTATTCTTAATCAACATCTGTCTAATGCTGCTGGTGTACAGAGTCCAGCTGAGAAGAACAACGTGAGTTTGGCGTATCATTATTTTAGTCACCTTGTTGCATACATAATCATTCTGTGGTTTACTTTGCTATTACTAGTAGTCTGAGTTTTTAACTATAAACGCAAGTCACTTAAAACTACTCGTCATAGCGGTGGTGAAAAACAGTCATCCTGCTTGTTAATCACGAAGGCAGCGCTTTCTCAATTTTCACTGGTCAGGAATATATTTTTATATATATACCAATATAGTCAGTCATGATTTTATCTCAAAAGAATAAAAATATCCCCAGTTATTTATGAGATCTAGATGAAGACTACTCCTACGCATAAAAACCTAAAAAGTAAAGGCCATCTGTGCTGGGGGAAAAGTGGTATTTAAGGTTTTTCTATATGTTTAAATACAGGAACAAACAGAAAATCACAATGACAATTTGTCTCTTGAAGGCGTATATGATTTTCTTTCTCTTCTGCCTTCCTGAATCTCACTTACAACTTCAGTCACACCAGTCAGGTTGGTGGTGCAGAAGGGCACCTACCCAAGCTAACTACTGGTAGCATTTAGTTGTGCCTCCCATGGCCGTACAGAGCTGCAGGGAGCACCCAGCCCCATCCCTGATCAGTGTCACTCAGATGCTGCTACACACAGGCGACGTGGAGCTGGGGTTTCTTGCTTTTTGCTCCAAATGATTTACTATGTGTTTACACAGTAATGCTAAACCATTCAGCAAAAGTGTGTCACAGGCTGACAGGCTCTATCAGGCTGAACAGTTGCTCTTTTTTTTAAAAAAAAAATACCAGGCTGCTCAAAGACACTGGGGACAGGCGGTGTTTAGGTCATTCTTAATTTTATTCTTCTCTGACCTGTAGAAATGAATGACTGAGATGAATTTTTGCTTTGAATGATGCTGGATGTGAATTTAATTCATTCTCAGGAGTGTGCATTTGTTTCTTTTCAGGGAAGGGAATTTATCTACAAAGCAAATTGTATTTCTTCAGAGACCTTCTTTGCCCCAGAAAGCAAAGAAGAAAGAATCTAAGGTAAATAACCTTGTGTTCCTGGGTTCTTTGGTTTTTGTTGGAAGTATTTTAATATTGTAATTGATTTCCCGTAGAAGTAAAAATGGTCTATGAAACATTTCTGTGCTACTGTAGCAAGATACAAGGAATTGAACGGTTCAAGTGAGAGAAACGAAAAAATACTCAAATGATTTGAAAGCTCTTACATTTCATTCTCTGTCAAACTCATGGTGGCAGAAGAGATGGAGATTTCTCTTTACAGCTGGGCCATAAACCTCCATAAACCACTGCTCTGTTCCTTGCTACATGCTTTCATAGAGCCTAGCACGGAGCAGGCCTGATGTGGGCCGGTGTGTCTGTTACATGCATGGTAGTGAGTTACCTGAGAACACGGCTGACAGCTGGTGATGTGTGGATGCACGTACACATAGCGATTCCCATTTCCATTTTAAGATGTGCAGCTGTGGAAATCTCTGCCCAAACCTGTCATGCCATACAGCTGAGAGGGAAACACAAGGACCAGACACTGGGAAAGTTGCTGACATTCCTACAGTACTCAAATTGGCCTTGCCCTTTCAGTACGTGGAGGGATCAGAAAAGGCAGGTGAGGTATGGAGAGGATCTCTGAAGCCATGAGATGATCTGTGCACTTAGGTGAGTGCTGGCTAGCCAAATGTCACCTGAAGGAGAGGCGCACCTGGGGCCCTGCAGAAGGTGAGCCAGAGTATGAGACTGGAGATCAGCTAAGCAGAGCTGAGCACTAGGAGCATTTTGCCCAGCATTTTAGATGATTACAGATAGTTTTCATCCATGAAGCCCTGACTGTTTTGGAGCCTGGTTCTGTGAAGGCTGTCTTTGAGAGATAGTGGAGACCAGGAGAGTGTTTGAACTGACTGAAGTAGGAGAGAACTGCTGGGAGCATGACTCTGATTTCAGATTTGCCCTCTCTCATTAGCCAAGCTGGAGCCCAGAGTGTTCTGTGAACGTGTTGCAAAGCCCATCTTTCCTGTTTCTTCTCTTTGTTTTCAGGTGATTAAAGAAATCCTGGGATGAGGGTTGGAGTGCCAATACTTGATCATTCTTTTCCTACCACTGTGTGTGGTTTTAATGGAAGGGGTGGAAACCTACAAGTGATTGTATATCTTCAAATACAGAAATCAGTGTGATACTGATTTCTTGTATTATAACAAGTGCATACCATCCAGTTGATTCAAAACTTTGTTTAAATTTTTTCATTCAGGGTTATAAAAACTTGTTTAACAGTGTCTGGTTGACAAAACAAAGGATTTACTTGTTGGCAGTATTAAATATACAGACGTACATGTGGGCAGAAATCACTACAGCACACTTTCACACCAAAGGTGAAGGAAAAATGGGACACACTGATTATAGTTTATTCATTTATAAAGAAATATAAGACTGGTTCAAAGTCTGTAAGTGGTGTTGAGTCACATCAAAGATGTGAGCTAGCATTTGATTAAGTTGCTGAATATTCTGCACATACAACTTCACAGGCTCTCAGAGTTTTTTTTAACTTGTGATACAGAATGTCTAAAATGTTCACAGATGACCCCTTAGAGAAGGAAAATAGGCTGATGAGATGAAAAGGACATTGCAGTGTTGGAAGCTGATCTGTCCTTTCTATGCACAGCAACCACCCCACTGTTCAGTGGTCAGAAGAACAGAAAAAGAAACATGCAAGGAGTGGCACAACTTGTTTTTCTCTTCAGTAAGAGAGAAGTACTCTTATTAGTGCAATGCTCAGTCAGTGGTGAGGTACTCGTGTCCATCCACTTTATACAAAAGTAAAACCAAGATGGATCTTGTGAAAGCCTTTTTTTTTTTTTCTTTTTACATTATGTTCTGGCTAGCAGAAGGAAATAGCATTGCTTAATCTTTGTAATCTAATAAACTTAATAGATTTTGAATGGCTTTTTGATTAAGGAATAAATAGGTAGATCAAAGATTTATGAACAGGAGTACTTCTTTTGACCAATTTGAGCAAAGACATGGTTGCACTGGAGAAAATAGCTTTTGGATCACAGCTATATTTGCTGAATGTCCTGATGAGATTATTTATGCTATCCAGGCATGGCCTCCTGAACCCATCCCTGAGTTTCCATTGGCATGGACACTGCTGATAAAGTGGTTGTGCAGGTTTACATGTACTTAGCAAGCTTGTGTAGGACAGCTCAGCAGTGGCTTGGAACGTGGTCTGGCTTTCCCTGGGAAGGTCCATCTATTTTTTGACAAAGGAAGCAGATATATTAGTGGCACATCTGTCAGCCTTTATATACGTTATACCTGTTGAGTTGGTATTTCAAAGTACTGTGAGTTCCCTTAATATTCATAGAATCCTAGAATCCTTTAGGTTGGAAGAGACCTTTAAGATCGCCAAGTCCAACCATTAAGCCAGCACTACTAAGTCCTCTGCTAAAACAGATCAGAATCTTGTCGGGGTTGGAAGGGACCACAAGGATCCCCAATTCCAACCCCTCTGCCATGAGCAGGGACACCTCCCACTAGATCAGGCTGCCCAGAGCCTCATCCAGCCTGGCCTCAAAGACCCCCAGGGATGGGGCCTCAACCACCTCCCTGGGCAACCCATTCCAGGGTCTCACCACTCATGGTGAAGAACTTCTTCCTCACTTCCAGCTTTGCCCTATTCTCCCTATTCCTGTCATTACCCAATAGCCTAAAATAGTCCCTCCCCAGCTTTCCTGTAGGCCCCCTTAAGATACTGGAAGACCACAATAAGGTCCCTTCGGAATATTTTTTCTTTAATAGTAGTTAAAAGAGTTCTGAAAAGGCAGCTGAGGTTAGTCTTGTGGTGAGCGCTGCAAGAGGCAGCCTCACGCTTTCTTATCAAAAAACATTCATACAGATGGTTTTGAATATTTTATAGTTTGGGTATGGTTCGTTCTGCTGCTGGGCTGGTGAAGAACATTGGAATAACACCGTAGGCTTGCTTCCCCCACCCACACTGGCTGTCAGGGTGCTGCGGGTCTCAGCAGTGACACGGCGTGGGGTGAGAAACCCACGAGGCATGTGAAATGGGAGAAGCAGAACCATCACAGTCTTTTTGTAGAGATAGGTATGTGTAGGCACCAATGATCTTCAGCTGTCTCATTCAGTCATGGAGTTTTTAAAAATTTTAGTTTTTTTGGGTCAAACTAGTCTTTGAATTAAAACTAAATAATAAAGATGTTTGTACTCAGGAAAGTAAACGTCCATGTGAGATTGTCTCTAACAGCCTTTGACATTTGAATCTTTTATTTGTAGTTCTACTGGAGGTTCTCCAAAGAAGACAGGCACAGCAAGCGAATGAAGAATTCCACAAAGGCTAAATTCAGTACGAGGGGGAAGCAAGCGGCAGAGGGGAAGCAGGAATTTGAAGTCACAGAGAACACAAGAAACTTAGAAGCGCAGATCTCAACAGCGGCCGGGCCTGCTCCAGAACAGCCCCTGGACGATGTCATAGACTTGGGGGATGAGGTTGCCGGGACCGACGACAGAGGTGCCCGTGGCAGCGGGGCATCAGAGGCAGACAGTGGTGACAGCGGGGGGCAGGTG